TCGATCACCACACCCAAGTCCTACATGCAAACATCACCGACTGTTAAAAAAAGAGATTAGTTGGTGCAAAAATTATGAAATTGGAGGTGGAACTTACAGTAGTAAGTTTCCAGCCGCCATTGAACTCGTATCCTTCAGGAGCCATCTCATCGCAGTCGAAGAGCAAGAGTGGAGCATAAGCTCCGCTCTCTGAGTCCTTTGCTGTGAACGGCCTCCCATATCCCGGAATCAACGTCACTGTCCCATATTTCTTGCACTCTTTGCACTGAATATGAGAAACTTAGAGAGATGAGAAACAAAGCTTGAGCGTCTAATTAAACAAGGATAAAATTAGGAGTTTGTTTTACTCTTATAACATGGTTAACTGTGTCACGGCGGCCGTGCTAGACACTCTCGCTGATATAGACGCATTATCTTTTTGACAGTTCCTGGCAGTTTTGGCAGCGAAGCTGAAACAAAAACAGAGAAGTAGAAAGTAAGATTACTTGATCTTCATATAAACAAAATGAAAGTCTATGAAACTTATAATCTAACTTTAAAAAAATATGGTATGTTTTCATCATCTGCTCCACCGTTTGGAACCATGGTGGCAATGTGGCTCAACCTAGCACTGATTTCTAGTAGAAATTTCATATTTGCCTTTCTGCCTTTCTAGTAGAATATAGGTGTTAAGTACTCTAGTTTCAGGTGAGAATTGAGGGGAGGAACAACACTCTTATATAGGAGTAAGCATGTGATGTTGGGCATATTTCGATATGTGTTGATGTTACTTTACCCATGTTTTAACCGCTTTTTGATGCTATTTGATCTTTAAAATGCCCAACATGGTTTAATTATTGGTTTTATGACTAATTGAGTTGTGTGTGATGAATTAGGGTATTTGGAGTGCAAAAATATGAAGAAGAGGTGCTCTAGGTAGAGGAAGAGAGGTTGGATGTGTCGCATCCAATCTAGAGAAAAAATCAGATTTCGTGCACCCTTAGCAGTGAAGTCGGCCCATAGCATCCGCACCTGGGCAAAGCTGAGAAGGAGGAACAATAGCATGCGAAGCTGAGAAGTGGAGGACGAGGTGGATGCGACGCATCCACCCCAGCATCAATCCCTGTAGCCAAGTCGGATTAGGAATAGGAGAACTTTGGCCCACGACTTTTGTACGCAATATATAAACCAAAAATGCCTCTTTTAGGGCATCTAACATATTGGGAAGAGGGAAAAGGCCACGACAAAGCTGGGGAACCATGAAATTCATCTTGAGTTCTTATTGTTTCTTCTTTTGTTGATTATTATGCACTCTTGTGAATTATTTGATGATTGCATGAACATGAGTGGCTAAGAACCCTATTGTTCTAGGGTTATGGGTATACATGAATGTTGATGTTTGAAGTTTAATTTGACGAATTTGATTTTATCATATTGGGTTGTTTATTTAATTCTATTTTTAATTATTTTGCTGAGTAGCTAACAGTGAAATACTATCTACGAATCTAGAGTTGAACTCGAAAGTGGGAACTCTAGATTGCATATAGAATTAAATAGAGCAAGTTCTTAAACCCAGGCATCGGGGAATGAATTCGCAATTGGGATAGACATTTACCTAATTGCCTTGCTCGGTTGCAATACAGGAATTGTAAATGCGTGCTTGTTAATCTTAATTACATAGACATATAGGTATTAAGTTAGCTTGAATAGGCGAGTAAGGGTTCGACAGATTCTTATGAGTAATATCAACCCTGTCAACCAACAATCCAGATAAATCAGTTAGTTATTTTAAGCTAAGAATGCAACATGATTGTTAGATAACCCGTGATCCTGAAATATTATCTCCCATTGATTGTCATTTAAAACTATTTAAGTGTTGTGTCGATTTTTGGTAATTCTTTACTTGATAGTCTTTAGGTAGTAAATTAGACAATTATCTATTTTATAAGAAATCGCTTGAATCGATAAGCTATTTGAGTTTGAATTAGTCAAAAGTTAATCATAAGTTTTCGTGGGAACGATACTTTATTCACTACTCTATTATTTGACGACTGCGTATACTTGCGTGAGTGTGTTTGGTCGCAACAACATGTGAGAGAAAACGTGAATGGGGGTGTAGAATGGTGAATTATTGGTGCATAAAGTGTATGTGTTCAACATTATTAGTGTCTAAAATACCTATTTAGTGCTAGAAAATGATACTAATATAATAAATTAAGCACAAATATTATACACACGAAAGTGGAAACTTTTTTAATATTAATTAGAACAACACGGATGATGGAAATACCGAATAAATGAAAGAAGATTGGTTGAGAATATCTATCATAGACTGGCTATCCCAACGATCAGAGAGAAATAGAGGAACTTTAGTCTATGATAAAATATTACTTGACATCCCGTATTTATATTAGTTTATTAATTAATTATAAGTCATACCAACTTGAGTACTATGATTAAGTATTTTAATAAGGTGAGAATATACATATGACAAACGATAGTTAAATGAGAAAATTTTATGTATAAAAACATATGCTACACGTTATGATTTCTATCAACCCTCTTCATAATTAGAAAAGCATGTCTATATAAGCTGAATTCTCAAAGTTCTCATATATAGGCAGTGTTAGGATTTGAACTTGTGAGTTAAGAATTATATTTCTTTGAAGTTGTTGAATTTTAAATTAATAACTTGTATATATTAAATAAATTTATAAGATAAATACAAAATTTAGACTGAAATTAATTGGTTCTACCAAACTTATAAGATGGTCTCTAGCTCCGTCCCTATTCTCATATATAATAGGTAATTTTCTAAGTCTAAAAAGTTGTACTAGCTAGTGAAGATAAACCAGGCGAAAATGCTCTTATAAGCATCAAAAATAAATATTGAGTTTTTCTCTTCTTCAGTTTTTGGCTTTTTGACAGTTGTTGTGTATATATGAGCATTTTGGTGCTGTTTTTTTTTTGGTTATATATCCCTATGCCATAATTAACTATGCTAATATTCTGTTTCTTTAAATTTCTTTTTAGAGGACGTGGATTATATATGAGGCGTAGGACTTCCAAGTTTTGAACTCTGTTGTTAACTTGTCAAAAGAACATGAATTATATGTTGACAATTTGAGGATTACAGTAAAAGAGTGAAAGGAAAATATATTTGACATTGTAATGAATAAAGTTAAACATCCGCTAAAGGTGGTTTATAAGAATGGGTTTCTCTAGTGGTAAGCACCCTTAACTTCTAACATAAGAGGTTGTGAGTTCGAGTCACCCCAAGAGCAAGGTGGAGAGTTCTTGAAAGAAAGGATGCTAAGGATTTTTCGGAATCAGCCTCTCTACATCAGGTAGGGATAAGACAAACAAAAGAAGAAAATAGTAAAAAAGTAAAATGAAAGGAATGAAATCAACAGAAAATCTAAGATGAAGTTACTATCTTTCTTTTTCAACAGAAAATAAGTCCCATCCCTTTTTAAGAATTTGACCAGTTGAAAAATGTACCATATTCCCACAAATGTCCGGCCACAACACACAAATCGCTCTGTAGAAAGAATACGGTAAAAGCAAAGGCATATAGTGCATGCCTTACAACTAGTACTTTACTTCTTATTTTTGGTGTATGCATTTTGAATAAAAACATCAATAGTAGCGGTAGGAATAAACATGAAGGGCTAATCTTGGCATAAAAATTTAGTACTATTTTATCCTTTGTTTGGTTATTAATTCTGAGATAAGTTATCCCAAAATTAAAAATAGTACTAGGATAACTTATACCTGTGAGAGGGTGGCTGAATACTAATCACATGATAAGTTATCTTAGGATTAATACAACATAACAAACAGTCAATAAAAAATATTACTCGGATAACTAATTCCAGCATAACTAATCCTAATATAACTATTAACTAATCCCAACATAACTAATTCTAGCATAACTTGTCTTCAACTAACGACCCCTTAGTTATCCCTGTAGTATTATTTGGTTAAATTATCCTAGGATTAATTATCCCGGGATTAATAATCCTAGGATAGTTATCTCACTTTCCCATAGGGATAAAAATAACACTACAATCTCGGAATTAGTTATACTGTAATTTTTTCCAACTAAATGTGAGATAAACTAATCTCAAATTTAATTGTGAAATTAATTATCTCTTATCTCTCGTACAAAACGATCGCTTAATGCTGCAATGTTGTTCCTGACAACGTCCAAACCAAGTTAATTGAACAAGTAGACGAATGCATAAATCAAGTGAAGCAATAATTGAAGTCTAATATATAACGGAGAAAACTGAAGGGAAACAATCAATTACGCAGAGATATAAATCACACCGGTAAAAGGGAGAAAAGAAATTAATACCTCTTTGCAATTAAATACAAATATAAGACACTTTGAATAGTTGAACTTTTCCTCAAGAAAGGAAACGAATTCCTTCCCTTTTCAAGGCATGGAATTAATTTCCAAATTTTAGAAAGTGGGCCAACCTGTATTATACAAATCGGAATCAGCTTCTCTACCTCGTGTAGGGGTAAAACAAACAAAAGAAGAAAATAGTAAAGAAGGAAAATGAAATGAATGAAATCAACTGAAAATCTGAGATGAAGTTACTATCTTTCTTTTATCAACAGAAAATAAGTCCCATCCCTTTTTAAGAATTTGACCGGTTGAAAAATGTCCCATATTCCCACAAATGTCCGGCCACAACACACAAATCGCTCGGTAGAAAGAATACGGTAAAAGCAAAGGCATATAGTGCATGCCTTACAACTAGTACTTTACTTCTTATTTTTGGTGTATGCATTTTGAATAAAAACATCAATAGTAGCGGTAGGAATAAACATGAAGGGCTAATCTTGGCATAAAAATTTAGTACCGTTTTATCCTTTATTTGGTTATTAATTTTGGGATAAATTATTCCAAAATTAATAATAGTACTGGGATAACTTATACATGCGACATGATAAGTTATCTTAGGATTAATACAACATACCAAACAGTCAATAAAAAATAATACTCGAATAACTAATTCCAGTATAACTAATCCTAATATAACTAATTAACTCATCCCAATATAACTAATTCTAGCATAACTTGTCTTCAACCAAACGACCCCTTAGTTATCCCTGCCGTATTATTTGGTTGGGAAATAAATTATCCTAGGATTAATTATTTCGGGATTAATAATCCTGGGATAGTTATCTCACTTTCTCATAGGGATAAAAATAACACTACAATCTCGGGATTAGTTATACCGCTATTTTTCTCAACCAAATGTGAGATAAACTTATCTCAAATTTAATTGCGAAATTAATTATCTCTTATCCCTCGTACCAAACGAGCGTTTAATGCTGCAATGTTGTTCCTGACAAAGTCCAAACCAAGTTAATTGAACAAGTAGACGAATGCATAAATCAAGTGAAGCAATAATTGAAGTCTAATATATAATGGAGAAAACTGAAGCGAAACAATCAATTACGCAGAGATATAAATCACACCGGTAAAAGGGAGAAAAGAAATTAATACCTCTTTGCAATTAAATACAAATATATGACCCTTTGAATAGTTGAACTTTTCCTCAAGAAAGGAAACGAATTCCTTACTGACGCAGCAGTACCGAGGATTTTTTTCCGACGCTATTCCGAAGGACTTTCCGACGGAGTCCTTCGGTACTTTTGAACTTTTTAATTTTTATTTTTTTAAAATATAACCGACAGACAACTCTCGGTAAGTAATGATACTTTGACCGATCAAAATTTAATTGGTTGTACCGATGCACTCCATCGGTAATTTACGGATGGACTCCCTCGGAATATTTTGTATTTATATTTTTCAATTATTTTTTTAGGTTCCGACGGTGTCTCTCGCTGCTTTTAAAAAAAATAAATGAAAAAGAAAATAAAGTTATCGACGTTGTCAATCCTACTGTATTTACATAATATTTTGAATTTTGTTTTTACAATACCGATGGACTTCCGTCGGTAACTTAAATAAATAATCTTATAGATAATTATTTTGTATTTTTTATTACACAATACCGAGGGAGGTTGTCGGTAAGTCCCTCGGTAAGTATTTACTTAATTATCTTAGTGATTGATTAGCCTATTTATTAAAATTTACACTAAGTAAAGGTAATACACTACTTAAAATATATTAGTGGTAGTTAGCTTAGTAATTTATAATTACACAAAGTAAAAGTGAATTTGTAGTATCCTTAACTACATTGATTAACCTATACATTAATAATTACACACTAAGAAGAAGTGTATTAGTCGTTTCCCTAAGAAATATTAGCGATGGTTTATCTTATAAATTGATAATTACTGTAAGTAGAAGTGTATTAATGGTGTCCTTAAGTAACGTTAACAATTGATTATCATACACATTGATAATATACTAAGCAAAAGTGTATTGGTTGTATTTAGCTTGTAGATTGATAATTACAGGAAGTATAAGTGTATTAATAATATATATGTAAGTAATGTTGGTGATTGATTAGCCTATATACATTGATAATAACACTAAGTATTAGTGAACTAGTGACATCCTTATATAAGTAACGTTAGTGATTGATTAGCCGATACATTGATAATTATACACTAAATGGAAGTGTATTAATGCTATTTGTGAGAAATATTTGTGATTGTTTATCTTTAGTTTGATAATTAAAGTAAGTAGAGGTTTATTAGTGATATCCTTAAGTAATATTAGTGGTATCCTGAAGTAACGCTAGTGATTCATTAGCCTATATATTGATAATTATACTAATTAAGTAGAAGTATATTAGTATAGTCTTAAAAACTATTACTGATTGATTAGCTTATGCATTAAGAATTACACTAAGTAGAAGTGTATTAGTAATATCAATATAAAATGTTAGCGATTGATTAGCTTATAAATTGATAATTACATAAAGTAGATGCATATTAGTGGTATGCTTAAGTAATATTAGTGATTAATTATCCCATGTATTTGTGATGACCCAAAAGGTCATCTTATGATTTAGAACTCGAATCGGCGCTCTTAGGCCTTAAAATTCTCATTTTTACCCTCCTCGATTTGCGTGCACAGTCCGTACAGGTTTTCGGAAAGCTTTTATGTTGAAAACTAATGAAAATAAGAATTTTTGCCTTAAAAGTTGATTTTAGTTGATTTCAGTCAACATTTTTGGTAAACAAGTCTGGATCCGTGTTTTGACAGTCCCGGTGGGTCCGTATCGAATTATGGGACCTGGGCGTATGCCCGGAATCGAATTCAGAGCTCTCTAGCTCAAGTTATGAATTTTTGATAAAAATTAAAAGTCTGAAAATTAATTATTTGTAAGAATTGATTGACGTTTGGCATTGTTAGTACCGGGTCCGTATTTTAGTTTCGGAACCCGGTACAAGTTCATTATGATATTTAAGACCTGTCTGTAAAATTTGGTGAGAAACGGAGTTGATTTGACGTGATTCGGACGTCCAGTTGAGAAAATAGAAATTTTAAAGTGTTCTTGAGAATTTCATTTGATTTGGTGCTAAATTTAGAGTTCTAGGTGTTATTTTGGCGATTTGATCTCGCGAGTAAGTTCGTATGATATTTTTAGACTTGTGTGCATATTTTGTTTGGAGCCCCGAGGGCTTCGGTGAGTTTCGGATAGGCCACAGGATGTTTTTGACTTTGGAAATCTGGTTTTTTCTGCAGAATCTGTGTTCTGGCATGTCCTTCTTCGCGTTCGCGAAGGTACTCTCGCGAACTCGAAGAGTAAATTGGGCAGCTGAGGATTTCTTCTTCGCGAACGCGAAGGCTTGGTCGCGAACGCGAAGCGATGGGGGCGTTACCCTTCGCGAACGCGGCAAGCCCATCGCGAACGCGTTGCGCTAGGCACTGGGGAGGGAAGACAACTTTTTCTTCATCGCGAACGCGAACAATCGCTCGCTACGCGAAGACCAGGGAAGGGTAGCCTACGCGAACACGATCACTGTCTCGCGAACGCGAAGGCTTGGCAGCTCATACACTTCGCGAACGTGACAGTGCTCTCGCGAACGCAATGACCACTGTCGCACAGCACTTAACAGAACCCAAAAACGGGATTTTTGCCAAAAACTCATTTTTCTCAAAAACCAAACGGTGAGAGGCAATTTTCCAAGAGTCATTTCTTCCCCAAATTGTTGGTAAGTGATTTTAAACCATTTTCTTTCAATTACCCATTACATTTCTTAAATTTTCAACCTAAAATCTAGAGTTTTCATAGTAGAATTAGGGGTTAGGGTAGAAACTAAGGATTTCGAGAATTTGGGGATTTAAACCTCAATTTGAGGTCAGATTCCAAAACTAATTACATATTCGGGCTCGGGGTAAATGGGTAAAAGGATTTTGGTCCGAACCTCGGGTTTTGACCAAGCAGGCCGGGGGTCGATTTTTCTACGTTTTGGAGGAAAATTTGAGAACTTTAATTTATGCAATATAATTAATTCCTTTAGCAATATTTGATATTATTGAGTCATTTTTGAATAGATACGAGTGGTTTGGAGGTGAATTCCAAAGGAAAAGCTATGATTGAGAATTAAGTGGTCTTCGGAGCGAGGTAAGTGTTGTGTCTAACCGTGACTTGAGGGCATTTGGAACCTTAGATTACTTGCTAAGTGAAATCCATGTGAGCGGCGTATATGTGAGGTGACAAGTACTTATGCGCCGCCAATTTACCTGTTTTCCATGTTTCTTTATTTTTCTTATATTGTCTTTTCCTATGTCAAATTGTTACGTGTTACGCTAGTGTTGTTCAATTTATCGTTCTGATCATGTTTACTGATTTTTTAGTGATAATAATATTTTTATTTCAAAGTTGATATTGATATTATGGAACCAAATCATGAAGTAAGGTTTGTACTTGTTATTCTATCTCCCTGTTGTTATTTATGCATTGCATTATGGTAAGGGAGAGTGTTAATGCACGAAGTGTGATGCCATGCCATATTGTGAGTGTTAATGCACGAAAGGTGATACCGTGCCATATTGTGAGTGTTAATGCACGAAGGGGATGTTGTGCCATATTGTGAGTGTTAATACACGAAGGGTAATTCCGTGCCATGATATGACAGTAAAAGCACGAAGGGTGATATCGTGTCATTTCTATTAATTTTATGGTGAGATTGAGAGTAAAAGCACGAAGGGTGATGTCGTGTATTTTTCCTTACTGTATTCATTATTCCTGTTGATTCATAGTATATTGACTGTTCCGGTGATTCTTTATTTCTATTATTTGTATATACACTGTTAAATTGTACATGTTGATTTGTAGGTGCCTTGCCTTAGCCTCGTCACTACTTCGTCGAGGTTAGGCTCGCTACTTACCAGCACTCTGCACTTTCTGTGCAGATTTTGGTACCGGCTCGGGTTGATTGAGATTTGCTATTGGTCCGTTGTCCGGAGACTCAAGGTAGATCTGTCGGCGTTCACAGACCTTGAAGTCCTCGTCTATCATTTATGTCCTACTATTTTTTTCATTCAGACAGTTGTATTTCTTTCAGACTATTACTTGTAGTAAATTCTAGAATGCTCGTAAATTGTGACTCCAGATCAAGGTGGTAGTAATTAATACAGTTTTGTGATATTC